CAATAATAATGGAAGTCGTAAATATACTTACCTTGCCATTGGTCATTCTGATTGTACACACAAGTACTCTGGAGTTGATATTAAAAAAAGATCCTTGAGTTTCTGATTGACAAAGTTTTTAGAGATCAGGTCTTCCAACAATATTTTGGAATTCCCATGGGTACCAATTGCACCCCGTTATTAGCAGACCTATTTTTGTATTCATATGATACAGACTTTATTCAAAAACTTCTACATGAGAAGAAAAAAACACTTGCTGTGGCCTTCAACTTTACATTTCGATATATCGACGACGTATTATCAATTAACAATAGTTACTTCCATTCATATGTCGACTCGATATATCCCAGTGAGCTTGAAATAAAAGATACTACAGAGTCTGACGCATCTGTTTCATATTTAGATATTTTACTAGAACAAGAGGCCGAAGGGCCTTAATGGTACATAACTAAGTACAATACAACAATTTAGAGGATCCATAAACTGATAAATGAAGCTTTGTTGCCCAAAAGCAAGAAAAATAGTATGATTAGCATCAACAAAATAATTGGTCTAGTATCTATCTGTCCCCGATTTATCACTCTTCCCATGCAGACTATTAACAAAATGTCTATTTTTTAACCCCATATTATTACTTCTCACATTAGCCTCTCTTGGCCTTTGAAGAACATTTAAAAAGATAAGTTATTTTTGTCTCATTTTTATTCATCTATTATTTCCAAGTCTACCTGATTATTAAAATATTGAAAGTACTTTTGTATTATACAAAAATATTCTTGCATAATGCTCGTATTCTATTGACTTTTCAAATACATTGTTTACAGTGATTAATTATCAAAGGTGAATGGCAGAGGGGAATAACTTTGCTCAGCAGAATACAAGTTAATATAGCCCTGGCCAGGATCAGAACACTTGACTAAATGGTCCAGGTGTTCGAAATTCTTGAAAATACCTTTGCATATTAGAACTTTTACTCTGTTTGCCTACAATATGCCCAGAAGCATAGAAGATTTTCAAAGAACTGCATTTTCACTATATTATTAAATAAATAAAGCCCCATCCTTATACCAGAAGATCTGACCCAGGAGCCATGAACTCACAATTCTGGAAGAAGAACCCTTGCTCATCATAACTATACACTTGTTTCTTTGCTTAATAACCAGAAGTAGAAAAATATTTTGAAAAAAATTATGCATTTTTACTATATTATCAATAGTCATCCCCCCTCTTCACCAGAACCCCTGACCCAGGGGCCATGAATTTTAGAATTTTGGGAGAGACATTCTTCATTGTCATAACCATGCACTTCCTTTGTTTGAATAATAACCAAGAGTAGAGAAGAAGAATTTGAAAGAATTTATGCATTTTCCCTATATAATCAATAGAGCCCCGCCCTAACACCAGAACCCTTGACCCTGGGGCCATGAAATTCACAATTTTGGAAGAGGCAACCATGCTCATCATAACTATATGCATGTTCTTAGTTTATTTAATCTCCAGGAGCAGAGAAGAAGATTTTCAAAGAATATATGCATTATCACTATACATGTATAATCAATAGAGCCCCGCCCTAACACCAGAGTCCTTGACCCTGGGGCCATGAAATTCATGATTTTGGAAGAAGCACTCTTGCTTATCATAACTTTGTACTTCGTTACTGTATTTGATACCCAGGAACAGAGAAGAAGATTTTCAATGAATTAATGCATTTTCACTATATAATCAATAGAGCCCTACCCTAACATTAGAACTCCTGACCCTGGGGCCATGAAATTCATGATTTTGGAAAATGCACTCTTGCTCATCATAACTTTGTACTTAGTTACTTTATTTAATACCCAGGAGCAGAGAAGAAGATTTTCAAAGATATAATTCATTTTCACTATATAATCAATAAAGGCCTGCCCTAACACCAGAACCCTTGACCCTGGGGCCATGAAATTAAAAATGTCGGAATAGGCACTCTTGCTCATCATAATTATGTACTTAGTTTCTTTATTTAATACCCAGGAGCAGAGAAGAAGATTTTCAATGAATTAATGCATTTTCACTATATAATTGTAATCAATAGAGCCCCGCCCTAACACCAGAACCCTTGACCCTGGGGCCATGAAATTCACAATTTTGGAAGAGGCGCTCTTGCTCATCATAACTATGTACTTAGTTACTTTATTTAATACCCAGGGTATCGTTTCACAAAAGCATCATAAATTACGTACTACTTAGCGAGTTACGACGAACTTAAGTAGTAACTACGTACTACGTTAAGACCGGTTCACGAAAGGTACTTAGAACTGTCGTAAATATGCGCAACTTACGAAGTACGTAAATATACCGGAAGTAAAAAAAAAATGGCAGACGAAACTATTTCTAAAATAAAGAAAGAGAGAAAGAAGAATTTTACGGCGCAGGAAGTAGAGACCCTGGTAGAAGAGGTGGAGAAACAAAAGGACATTCTGTTCGCACCACATTAGGACGTGAATACCAACCAGAGGAAGAACCAATGTTGGAAAAACATTTGTTCCTTGTGTGTATAACATTTATCTAACATTTTATGCTTTGTTTACTAATTCATAATATTAATGTAAAATTTATCCACAAATTTAAATATTTCATTACATAGGTCAATATTTACACGAAGTTGAAAAACATTATCCCTGATGCCCCCCTCATATTAGGTATTTATGTTCGAGTTTCCTCGAAACGTCAAAAAAGGTTACAAGTCAGCATCTCTGACAATAACAATACTTCCAAAACTGTAAATTATCATGCCACAGTTTGTGATTTATCTTTCAAGAATTCATCGGAATGAATAGATTTTGGGTATGTGAAACAGTTTATAGCATTTTTCAAATCGATGATTATTCTATCTAGATCTACACTGCGGTGTAATGAGAAAGTAATAAAACATCAGAATGAAGAGCTCAAATTGAAGTAATTGAATATCATATAAATTAGCAATCATGTCCATTATATGATAAAGGGACTCACGAAAGAGAAGAAAACGATTACTTACTCGAACCAATGATAAATGAAATCGTCTGCATGTTTACCTTTTGAGCTTGACCTTGACACTGTGAGAATCCCTTATGAATATATAAAAAATGACAATATATTTGGGTTTTTAGTCCTAATTATTTGCCTTTCAGGCACAGCACACTTTGACACCTTACATAAGGTACAAGGAGTCAGAATGATTTTATTTTTAATTTTCATAAAATCCAGACCCATATGATCTTTTTCTCAATGACTCTTCAACTGATAATGCAGTGGTGGATCAAATTTTTGCTTACAATGACTGGATTTGAAAAGGAAACACTTCTTTTTTAAATTGAATGCAAAGTAAAAGTTATATCATAAGTTGCTATTAATATTTTTGTCCAACTTTACCATGACATGAAGTATGAGAGAGAGAGAAAGAGAGAGAGAGTCGTGATTTAAAATTTATTTCCTAGTCTGTACTAAGATTCTTTAAATGTTATTGGTATCAGTTGGAATGTAATTTAATAAATCGCAAGTAGCATCGTTTTGGAAAAGTTGAGACAGAGTTATAAATGGTAGGCTAAAAAGAAAAGAAATGATTTTGACAAGCCGAAAAAAGGGGGGGGGGGCACTATCATATTTGCAACAAAAAGCTGTGGATGGGGTGTCCACTTCCATACTTAATTAACAGCTAAAGGCTATTGTTAATTTAAAGTTTTAGAATTCAATCCATTCCTGACTACATGTATGAACTTCGGGTCTGAATTAGTGAAAATGATATTGAAATGTCAATATTTCTTTTAAGAGACTTTTGACAAGGAGCATCCCCGAATTGAAAAGTGTTGAATATCAGTGTTTATATGTGGATTAGCATATTATATTCAATTTCCATTTATTTTGATAAATCACGAAATTATGTTTCTTCGGTAAGGTACATGTAATTAAGGTCCGTTAGGAACCGGAAGGGCACGGGGCCATGTCTCTTCCCAATAATTTTACCAGTGAATACTGCACCGAAGAAAATCTATGATAATGTAAATTTAACTTTCTAATTTGAAATTCATTTTCAATCCACCTTTGCTACTCTGAAACGCAGAGTGTAAGTGATTGATCCAGAGGACAAATAATGACAATTTCGGAATATACGGTAAAACACGGTTAAAGCGAATGGGGGGGGGGGGCTAGATCTTACAAAGAAAAGCTGGGAAGTTTTTGAGTTTGGACAAAACCTCCCCCTTCTCGTTTTTCCTTGTAAACCATTTTTCAGTGAAGAAGGAAAAAAAAATTCTTGGCATCCTAGAAATAAATAATACAACGCATTATATTTTGTGAACGCATGAATGGAAATAATTTATAAGTTAAAAAAAAACATCAAGTATTTTGCTAGGTTTCCCAATAATAATTTTTTTTTATATTAGAAGTTTCTTTGGCTCTGACTTAAATTTCTTAAACCTATTGTTGACCTATTGACTTTTTTCATAAATCAGAATAAACAGCATCGGTATCCAGGAGAGGACATCCGCTGAGATTATTAAAAAGTGGAGAGATATTTCATCTCAAACTAAAAAGAAGGAGGCCCAGTACAGAAGGGAACTTGCGAGAACCGGCAGTGGACCTGCTCCTGCTCCGATCAACTCCTCAGACATCAGTCAGAAGGTATAGCATATGAATTTATGTACACCGAATAATTGTAATCTTAACCACTACAATGTAGCTTAAATGTACTGCACAATTGATCTCTAATTATTAATTTCAGGTTGTTGCAATAATAGGCAAAACATCAGTAGAAGGTGTAGAAGGCGGGTTTGATACGGATGATGTTAATGGCGAGTTCACATTTATATTGATTTCATGCACTTAAAATCTTACTACCGTTAACCTTGTTAATGAAAAAAGTCATGTAAATTATAAATATTTAATTTGTATTTCAGAGGTCGATCTCTTTAAAGTGGAGGATGTATATGGCTCTCCCCTCCGATGGAATCTACATCCGAGCGAGCTGCCGTCCCAACACCATTTCAATCCCCAGGTCCATCTTCTGGTGAGCAAGCCGCCACCCCAACACTTCCAGAGGCTCCAGATCACGAGAAGCAGCTTCAACCAACCAAAACGTATGGGTATTTCTGGAGGGGAAATTGAAACTGATATGAATTTAAATAGCCTTTGTATTCATGTAAAGGTCTGTGAACTAAAACTTTATAGGAAAAAAAGCAATTTAAAGCGGAAGAGGTCGGTGGAGGACGTTTATGACCTTCAATGCCAGGTTCTGGAACAGGAGCTGGAGAAGAACAAGCTGGAGATAGAGAAAGCTCGACTCCAGATTAATATCTTAAAGTCATTACAGGAAAGGGTTGCAGCTGGGGGAAAGTGATCCTTTGATGGAGTTGTTCTCCACCTTGAGTCGCTGACTGAGAGAGCAAGAGAGAGAGAATGTGTTTTAATATTTAATATTACTGAGAGAGAGAGAGAGAGAGAGAGTTTATTGTTGTTTGCCATATTAAATTATTAGTATTTATTAATTAATGTTACGCTGAATTATTCAAATACTTTACCAAAAGTAATTATACATGCATTTAATTACTTTTTTGTCTTTCTCATTTCTAATTAAGTAAAATATGAATAGTACAAACACATCTATGTGAATTATTTTATTGATGTATATAGGACGTTACCTTTGTAAATTGTTGTCTTATCAATTGTTCTCTGGTTGTTTTGCCGTCATTGATAGGTCCCTGGTAAGTTACCTCGTCTTAAGCTTCAACTAGTTCTTCTTCAGGTTCCTCAAAAACTGGAATTCGCTTGTCAATACAGATGTTACGGAGTTGACAGCACACGTATATAATCTTGCAGCATTTTGCTCGTGTGTACTCAAGAGCTCCGCCTGTTTTGTGGAGACACCTGTAAACAATTATATGCGTATCTCTCTTGTATTTTTTCTGGTGTGCACAAAGATCAACGTACATTTGAAATTAGCTGCAGATCTGTAGCTCGCTGGTCTGAAAAAATTGGGATAGATGACCAGAGAGCTACAGTGCCACCACCCATAGAAAAAAAATATATATATTTATTGCGCACAAAAAGTTGCGCTCGGTTCTGGATTAATTTTTCCGAATTCTTATTTCGACTGCACAAAAACTTAATTTCAAAAAGTTCCTTAGACCTCTATTAAATAATTACGTAGTTGACATCTGCACGAAGTGCGTTAGACCGAATTATTTTGCCACCAAAAATGGCAGTATAAATAGACGAAATTTTCTATGGTCTCAATTTTATGCCCAGGAATTCTTTAATAACGGTTACCAGGAATGTTTTGTTGTGGAAACAGTAAAAAAAATATGTAAAGAAGATTAGTAATATTTTGGGATGGAGGTTTGAAAAACACGAAGAAATAAATCGAGAAATAGCGCTCATTTTTGTGCGCAATAAATATACTTTTTTCAGTGGGTGGCACTTTAGCTCTCTTGTCTGTCATTTTTTTTTCCGGAGAGCTACAGTTCTGCAGCTAATTTGAACTGGGTTACCTGAAGTGGGATTTTAGCACTCCAAAGGCCTGTTCAACCACCACACGAGTTCTCCTGTGAGACCCATTATACCGATCTTCTCCTCTGGAATTTGGATTACTAACTGGTGTCATGATCCATGGCCTTAGAGGGTACCCAGAATCTCCTAAGATCCTTCCATTCATTTGTCCATTTTCAAATTTCTGCGCAATCGAACAATTGGCCCATCATGAGTTGATCCTGGCCATTTACTAACAATGCTCAAAAATCTATTAGAGAAGAAACCAAAGTTGCATATTGTTCGTCGCTTTATAATTAAAAATAATACTGCTAAGCTGCACCAGTTTTTTAAGGAGGGAGGGAAAGGGGATAATTCAGTACTTTAAAATATGTTGTCGCAAGTCTTTGTGCAAATCGTTTATTTCTTTGTTGTTATATTTATCATTAGAATAATATGAAGTATATTTGTACAAAAATGAAACTTATTCAAATAGTTCAATTAATTTCCGCGTAGAGCAAGCTGTGTTTAAGGTGAAGTCGCAGCCCTCTTGTACTTTAAAAAAAATTGCTGATTTTAAAACAAAAGACCTCGTATTCACGTTGTGAAGCTAGAATTTGTTTAATAAATTTTCGACAAAAATAGTTTATAAAACCACTCGCTAAAATGTATTCATTTATTCATTGCCACACACACAATAAATTAAGGGATATACATGTACGTATTAATTTATTAACTAATTTTAGAAAAAAAAATGATTTAAACATATCGGCGAGGGGTGGGGGGGTGGGGTGGGGGGTGGGGGTCGGAAAAGGGGCTACGGTATTCATTGAAAACATTCACCAATTCTGAAAGTAAAATTAAATATTTACCACCCCCCTCCAAAAAAAAGAGATAAATAGAGAATGTAAACACATGAATCGAATCATTTCTTCTAGATACTTAAGTCGCCACTGCCTGCTGCTGTCATCCAACAGTACTTATTCAAAACTTAACGTGAATTCACTTAATTGCATCAAAGTTTTATTTATCTTTTACTATTTTAAGATTAAAGGTATTTATACCACTTTATCTTTTAAAAATTGAATTAAAAAATAAATTTAAGAAACTCTTTTTCAATGGAATATGCCAAAATGACAACATATGTTGTTTCTTTCCAAACCTTTCCGTTTTGTTTGTTAAAAAATACATGTTTAACATATTTACTTCATGTCATAATCAGCTATTGCCTGGACGCTGATCGAGTGATATCCTTTTCTGCAGACGTACAAATGCTCATCTGTTACAGGTATGTGAGTCCCGTCGATGGCGCCAAGGACATTAGGGAAACCAGCGATTGCATGGAAACCAACCTTCGTCCTGGTTGTCTCGGCATCACCAGTCGGAAACTTTATGATGTTCAGTGTCCGACACAAGACATTGATAACCTCGTCGATAGACCTAATCAAAATTTTATATAATATAAATTTATTTTAAGGGCATATTAAAAGTTTGCCCTCTCTCGATCGATCGAAAAAATGGACCGACTTAAAATTTTTTAAACCTTCCCAGGAAACGATTGTTTTTTATTCATTACAAAATATAATCATCCCGTCAACACTTTTATTTTAGCTTTATCTTCGTAAGTTTTTCCTACCTTTATCCTTACCTTAACCTTTATCTATCTTTTTTTTTATCCTGAGTTGGAGAGGGCAAGTAAACATTTTTTAAGAAGATCTAATGAAATTTGGATTACTAGTAACACATCATGAAAATAAATTTTATCATCCTTGTATTTAACAACCTGCAAACAGATGGCTTGGATATCCCCAGAGTGTCTCCAATCATTCTATACTGGGAGCCAGAAGCAAGAAATCTTAATGCAGCAAACACTTGCAAAGAATCTGGAAGACTTCGAGATCTTTTGGTTGGTCTCTCTAAACGTTCTTGGACTATATCAATAATACTAATGATGGTCCTTCTGTCCAACCGGTAACGATGGATAATATCCATATCGTCGTATGCGTCTAGGGGATTCTGCCTGTCCCTGAACACGCGCTGTCTGCGTAAATTTCGACGCACCTGTTCGTCCGCAACTCTCATGAACGCCGCCATCTTTGGATACTAACGTAACGACGTAATTTTACGTCACCTCCAAGGTGACGTAAAGTTACGTCGTAACGTACGACGCAACGTGAATTAAGAAGCTTTCGTGAAACGCCGAAATTTAGCTACGTACTACTTACGTCGCACTTACGTACTACGTACAATTTACGATGCTTTTGTGAAACGATACCCAGGAGCAGAGAAGAAGATTTTCAATGAATTAATGCATTTTCACTATATAATCAATAGAGCCCCACCCTAACATCAGAACTCCTGATCCTGGGGCCATGAAATTCATAATTTTGGAAGAGGCGCTCTTGCCCATCATAACTTTGTACTTAGTTACTTTATTTAATACCCAGGAGCAGAGAAGAAGATTTTCAAAGAATTAATGCATTTTCACTATATACATGTAATCAATAGAGCCCCGCCCTAACACCAGAATCCTTGACCCTGGGGCCATTAAATTCACAATTTTGGAAGAAGCAACCATGCTCATCTTAACTATGTACTTAGTTATTTTATTTAATCTCCAGGAGCAGAGAAGATTTTCAAAGAATATATGCATTATCACTATATAATCAATAGAGCCCCGCCCTAACACCTGAACCCCTAACCCAGGGGCCATGAAATTCATAATTTTGGAAGAGGCACTCTTGCTCATCATAATTATGTACTTAGTTACTTTATTTAATACCCAGGAGCAGAGAAGAAGATTTTCAATGAATTAATGCATTTTCACTATATAATCAATAGAGCCCTACCCTAACATCAGAACTCCTGACGCTGGGGCCATGAAATTCATGATTTTGGAAGAGGCACTCTTGAGTGCCGGGTAAAGATCTAAATGTGAAGTCCTTCTAGATGAAGTCCCGATATATTCTGTCAGTGCATCGCATTACATCGAAAAAGATTGGCGAAGCATGTCTGCTCAAACAACGAATTCCTTTTAAAAGTATTCCTGAAGGAAAGTAAGTCTAAAGCAAACTGATAAGCCCTATATAAATTGTTACATCGGTCAAGATATTTGCTTTTGAAATTAAATACAATTTCGTGGTGCATATGCTTTATCACTATGTTCAGATCTGTTGGAAAAAAATGAATTAAGGAAATTACTCTTTGACCTTTAAAACGTAAAAACGTATACTAGCAAAACAGTGTTCATAGTGTTTATGCGCTGCTGAAGAAAACAAAACAAGGAGAAAACGGAAAGCACTAAAACAGAGTTGAGATGTAAGAAAATGCACTGATTATACTTGTCAGTGCATTGTCATTAAGTACAAAACTACGCTCCTTTTCATTTTTATAACGAGAAAAATATCTGAAGTCTGTAGATTACAACCCCTGTGGATTTCTTTATTGAAAAAAAGAAAGTTGGCTAGAATGCAAAAAATTATATATTTCCTATGCATGATCTGTAGAAGTTAACGTAAAGATGGACATAAAACTCAAGATCTACATATACAAAATATGTGAGAATAGACTATAACCACTGTAAAAAGAAAGCAATATGAGGTCAATTTCCTGACTTTCTGATAAAACAGACTAACATTCAAGCCAGGAAATTAAGAAGGAGGAAATCTAGCTCTAATACAGTTTTGAAGTAATAACCTCCTCGAATCAAGGAAAAGACATGCTGTGCACAGAGTTTAGGAGAAAATCTGAGGTCGAATTCCAAAAACTAAATAAAAACGTGAAAAGAAAGGGTTGAAGCTTCATCACTGATAAAATATAGTTCTTCACAGTATCCTTTTACATCATATAAAATCACACTGACAAAACAGAAATGCAAAACATACATGTATTTAAACATGATAGGTCGGGTTTCTATATCGAGTGCAAATTCAGTGTTTATTTTTCGTGTATTGGACCAAGAAACTCAAAGGTTAGTACGGGTATAAAGAAAATTATTTAAAATAAAAATACTGGTGAAAAACTGATAGTAAAAACAAGGCTATCAACAGTGCAATGAATTAATTTGCTAGAGTTACCAAGTATTCCAGACTTGACTTCTATTTAAATCAAATTTTTACAAAGAAATATATGATTTTCTTTTAAAGTTTTCTTCTTAAAAGCAGCAAGGATGAAATTTATTAAATATAACGTTGATTCACCTAGTTCTGAAACATTGGAAAAATATTTGAAGCTCTACCGTTAAATACCAGTGAGATGTGACGGCAGAGATTACAGAAGTAGACGACATTGACTGTATTTACACCGACTTGTGGACGTTCGAATGAAATACGGGAATTAGGCATCATTTGACAATGAGGAGATTTCTCTTAAATGAGTTTTTTAAAAGAGATATATTCGGTGAAAAAAACACATTAACATTAGTTTTGAAATGTGACTTCTTCGGGGAAATTGTCCTCTCCCATACTTCAATTTTTTCGAAGTTACGAATTTATCCTTTTTTTTTAATGAACCCGCTCACTTCAACTTTTCTACAATTCTTTTAATGTAACAACCTAGTATTATCACTTATATAAGGTGTCCCAGCTGATTCTATACTTAAAGGCATGTTCTGCGTGCGATCAGTTTGATACAAAACTAAACAGGGTACTGACATATAAGTAAGCTTTATAAGGGTATCAACTTGTTTTATAGTCAACATTTCGCGAATTCCATGGTCATTGCGATAATGTTGACTTCAAATAGAACCTGTCGTTAAAGGCTGTTTTAAATGCTATCACGTGTTTCATGTAAAGTACAAACTGTACTGGTATTAACTTCCGCCGTGTATCGGAATAGTTTCATGTTAAAACATGGAGTGTCAATGTTGATTAAGACATCGCTGTGTTTATCCATTCTATCTTCATGATGCACCATTGTGTAAATCTGATACTTACAATTAGTGGATTTCTTAACTTAATGGATCTTTTCCCAATTCTGTTTTATTCAACTTATGCAAAGGCATTAATTGGAGAAAATATATGTAGATCTGAGAGGTAATTGATTTCAACAATTAGTCCTTGCAACCAAAGTGTTCATTTTTAGTATTATTCATATTTTTGTCTTTCTTTATAGTGAGAATATTACAATAACTTTTTGTTGTCCGACCTATGAAGAAAGAGATAACATGTGTGTTGGTAAGTTAGATTCCGTCAACAAAAATGTTTACAAAGCTTTCGTAAACTCTTTTCAGAGGTTTAAATAAAATGCGTTGCCTGAATGGCTTCTTTAGTATGGATACTTATATTTTGCATATGTATTTAAATTGTTATTTATTTTACCTTCATACTTCTACCTAATTCTTTTCAATATATCCACGGTAATAAAAAGAGTGCAGACCTGGATTCAGGGGCTATAATTGCAGTTTGATTTGTCCTGAAAACTATTATGGTCCTCGATGTCAGAGGAAATGCCAGTGTCACAACTCTGAGTACTGTCACCACGTATGTGGGTGTGTGTCAAATCTGTTGGAAAGTTTTGGTAACGCAACGATGGTCCATAATGTCACCGAAAATGAAATTGATACGAGTGTCACTAACCAGACCCTTTTCACAGAACAATGTTTATCTTCAACAGAAAAAACCACCAAAATAGCAGTCACCATCGCTGGAATCGACATTGGTAATATATCTTGATTTTACAATGAACGAATTATTGAAAAAAAAAATTATGTTACCAAAATGTCTGTTTGATGTTGGGGTAAGGTTCATTTTGTATTAAAGCTGAAAAGTTGATTATTTAACGATTTTGTTTGTTTTACCGAAGACAGTATAGCGTTTTCGCGTGAAGAAATCTCTTAATTTTTAACTATATAGATCGAAGCTTTGAGCTGAAATGCTAGTGTAACAAATTTGAGTATTGCCACCATGTCTTTTGCTTTATGCCAAATTTGTCAGACTGTTTTGGCAACGCAGTATAATGGAACAAGATAACTTAATTCCGTAAGATTACATTTAGTTATAAGTTACTGCTTATTATAGCGCATACAGCAGCATCTTCATAAAGCATCATCACCTGACATAGATCCAGTATATCAGCACATGGCTTAGTATGCAGCCGATTTGATGTTTTGAATTAATAAATTATTAAGACTAAAATTTTTGTCATTTTTATTGAAGATAATATATTATCCAAGTGAGAGTATCCAAGTGAGGAAAATGTTCTTTCTTCAAAATCAAAGATTCTAGGAACAAAATAAATAGCCTACAGAGAAATTTTAATCCTGGACAAAATAACGTTACAAAACTTAGGGGGTAGGGTAAATGATTTTTTTAAAACCCAAATCAAATAACACACAGCTAGCAACTTTTATCTAGATCTGCTAACAAATTCTTTTAAAAAAATTACGGGAATAAAATAACATAACACTGCTTGTTGGTTGCACTACAGCATTAAATTTTGCTATATATTCTTACTAAGGATGCACAACTTTGAACTCGAATTTGTCTTTATTAAACTTTTGAGATGTTTCTTTTTTAGATCTTGTAAAGCAGTTCTTTATAAACATCTTAGTACAAAAAAAAAACACATAGCCATCCAGCAAGGCACGCAAGTTTGTTTCAGTCGAAGTCAAGCAAGTGCTTGAAAATTAAGTGTAGGGCCTAATCATTCCCCACTCAAATACATTATACAAAAAGTAAAGCACGCCCTAAATTTTGACGAATCTGGTTAATACAGGAAGTTTCTCATTTCATAAAAAATCACCTCCAGTCTCATACAAAAATGCCCAAATCGGGAGGATAATTCAGGAAATGTTTTGCATCTGCAATGTTTTGATATGAGCCTCAACCGAAGTACTTTTATGACACCTGTATTGTACAATTTGCGCTTAATTCTGGGGTATATGTGGTCTTTAAAATCTTTAATATAGTCCGCGATATTTTTGTACATTTGTACATATAAACTTGATCAACTTGAGAAAATATATGAAATATAGATTTCCCAATTACTTAAATTAAGCATTACGCTCCACATTTTTTATTTTTTTAAAATGAATATGAGGTATAACTTTTCTTTTTATACGGAAGTACATTAACATGTACATTTAAAAGTTCTTAAGGTATAGGAGGCAGATCTTGGAGAGCAAAATTAATTTTGCATGTCAACTTGAATTGACATTTTGACAACTTGAAGACCAACAAAGTAAAACATTAAGTTTGTTCATGATCTTTTTCCAAATTTTGTTTAGACTTATTTTGATGAATTCATTTTTTGAGTAACTATAGCTATTTTTAAAAATAACACAGCGTTGTTTGATACTGTTTTTGCTTTGACTTCTCTTATCATCGTTCATTAAAATTGATTTATCCCCCCATCCCCCGAAATTTTTTTTTTTTCTACAAAACAGCTGTTTATACATGTACCTAGGCCGAAATCGCCACTCCAAATAGAAAAAAAGCACAGTATTGTGCCATGAGATCCGTTTACATGTATTTTATTGCTCGTGTCATCAAATCACTTAATGATCGAATTATTAATTATATCGAATAAATGAAACACATATTTAATAACTTTTTTTCATGTTATATATATTGTATGTTATTTGAAGTGTTTAAAGTGTATTTAGAAGCTTTTTTAGAAGTGTATTAAATGTATTATTTAGAAGTGATTTGTTGATATAAACGCCTATATAATAAGCTTTTTTGAATATATGTGTATTCGTGGTACACACGCACGTGTTTGTTCAATACTGTAAAGGAAAAGATAATCTTGCACCTTTAAAACATTTCATTGGTGTAAGAAAGGAACATAAAGGAATTTGGAAACTGTATGATTGAATGCATAGCTGTCAGTTGTCTACATTCGCATGAATATTCATTAAAGAACAATGTGTTATTTAAACATCGAGAAGTCTTCGTTCTCTTTTATCAAGAAGATTCCACCACTAAGTACGATGAAGAGTATGAAATCCTGAGAACTGTATTCCTTGAGGTGCTGCCTTTTGTGATATTTGTCTGCTTACTACTCTGTTTTGGAATAATTTACAGGTAAAATGGATTCTTTTTGTTTTTCTAAAAGTCTAGCTCAGAGTAAACGAAGAAGAACATACTGTACTAATTGTGTTTTTGATAAATGCCTTGTAGAAAATGTTATTCCAAAAAGAAACAAGAAATGAAAGGTAAGCTAATAATTTAAAACAATTATCACATATTCCAGGCAAGAAAAACTAACTACAGTGTAGCTCCTAACTTTCGAATTAGTACTTCCAGTTTAGTGCATTTTGAACTTCTTCCACTTTTGGGGTCTGGATTTTCTCATCAGAGTTAAGGATAAATGCCTTAAGATTAGGCTATAGCATATCAGAGATAATATTCCTACAGGAAAATGTTTTGAAAATAGGAAAGATAATCTTTTTTGGGATTTAAGGGCCGATTCAGGAAAGCAGTCCCGCCTTGAGAGCTATAATTTTATTTCATAACCAAATACCAATTTCATTTCACTTTTGCCGGTCCTTTAAACCGCAATCTCTACCCAGAGTTATCGATCCCGCTACGCTCCAGCGAAGCGTAATACGCCCTCTGGTGAGAGATTGTATAAACCGAGGTCCCATGTCACAGTAGGTGCTGGCACGAAAAAGATCCATCACTGCTCAATGGCCCTTAGTGTCGAGTATAGGTTAAACTTTGCAGCTCTCCTCCGGCAAGTGGTTGCGTCTCCATATGAGTGAAAAATTCTCGAGAGGGAACAACAAACAAACAAACAAACATTTCACATTTTGGTTAAAATGGTACATGTACTAATAGACAAAAGAAATTAATATTTTCAGACAAATAAATAATACAAAACATTATGCAATATGCTTTAATTTCAAGTTATGCAACCACATGTACAGCTTCCCGGTTTTGCAGATCTTCATAGAAATTTAATAATGACTACAATGTTTAGGATTGACAATCATGGTGATAGATGGACTTTAAAGTACATAAAACAAAGGAATAAAAGAAATCAAGCATGACATGGGATAAATATTTTTAGATCAGTAACTGAAAAATGCCATTGTGTCATAATTTCTGTGTTGAATAAATCTGAATTAAGAATAAAAATCACAATTTAAATATTGTACACATATAAGCGTAATGACATATTTTCCATCTCAAATTACTTTTAGTAAGTTTAGTAATAATGACGTGATCACGAATTTAGCATTATTATGTGTGATTGATCGACTGATTGCATGTTCTTTTACGTCCCATTCGAGAATTGTTCACTGTTTAGATACATCACCATATACAGTTGAAGGGTTTCAAATTTAGTTTTTGTGTGTGAAGTTTTAGACTGAAATAATTTCCTTTATTGAATCTCTAAAATCTTATATAGACATAGATCAATATTTAGCTAAAGAAGACCATGTCGGTTACTCACAAAAGATTGCGTCTATTCTCTTTAAATTCAAGAAACAGTTTTTTGATTCAGAAATCAATAAAAGTAAGTTAAAAAAATTTGTTGTATTTTTATGCCGTCATATGATTTAATTATAAATATGTAAAGTGTACTATTAAGAAGTGAAAATATTCATCTGAAATGAAATTAACATAATATACAAATTTATTTCACATTAATTTTGTTGTAGTGAATAATTATTCTCTCATAAGATAATTCAGAAAATAACCTAATGTAAATTTAAAAGTGAGGCATTGCAAAGCTCTCCTTTTTTTTTTTTAATTTGTTATTGACAAAAAGGTCTCGTTCAATTTGATTTAATTTTGAGTAGGAAACAGATAGGTGAAAAAGATGAATTTGCTCGCTACTTAATCTTTGAAAATAATATTTCATTTCTTTTATTTAAAAGACAGTGTTCATAATGCTTTGTATATTACGGAAGAAGGAAACCGAGAAAATAGTGTTCAGAGTAATGAAGATACGACTGGAGATCCACTCTACGGCACCTGTGAAGATCCTTGTTATAGTACATTAACACTGAGGGTAAACTACGGTCCTGTCCATGCCAGTTATGAAGATGGGTCTTTAGAAGATTTTAATCCCTATGACTTTATGTATGAAGGAGAGGGAAATATGGCTAGAGTACAAGAAACTCACGATAGTAATTTCTATTTAAATAATGAGAGTGTACAAATGCATATAAACTCAACTCAAAGACTGTATGAAGATCCATGGAGTAATAATTTTAATAACTCCCTTTTGCGTCACTCAACACAACGTCGGTTTGACCTCATGCCAGTTGATGAATGTTGCAGTGCTTTACAGGGAAAAGAATACGGGCCATACGAGCTGGCATCTAGCAACTAAATAGGACAGTTTGTGAATAATTGAATTTTTATTTTCTGTTTGCAATTCATAATATGCAGGTGTATCAAGAAACGCTTTTTAGCATACAACTGTTTTTACTTAAGTACAGATGAAATAAAATGAAAATCCAACAGACCTAAAATGATCTTTGTTTCCATAGAAACACGGTTTTCTTGTCATATGAAGGAGAAGCTGAGAAAACGCTGTGTCAAACCCCCTCACGAAAAAGGTTTTTCGTAGACATGTATATGCACGCCGTTTTTCATTTTTGTATTTTGAATAAGTTTAAAACCACCACTACTCCCCCCCCCCCCAAAAAAAAAAAAAATAAAAAAATTCTGGACCCCAATGGTAAATCTTGCATGTAATTAAAAATGTTGATCTTCAGAAAGTTGTTAAGGAAACTGTATTGTGAGGTTATGAAATACATATTCATTTGGTGCTTGTTTACTTGTTAAATATAGAATAAAATTACTTTACATGTGATATTTTTCAAATACACTGAAAAGGTGGGATTAAATAAAAGTGTCTTTTTATTTTGATTTTAAAAAATCGCATGCATACAGTCCTGTATTAAGTTCTGATTGGTTTACTTTCTTTGATTTTAATTATTTTTTGTAACAATTTAAACTCTCATGAAAGGGAATCATCTTAAGAACCATCTATTAGGATATATCAAATTTAAAGCAGACGACCTTCCATGTGCATAGTGCTAGAATATGGACTGTTACTGTACATCCAAAGTATGTTTTACCCAACATCAAATCGCACTAAAACACTATCAAATATACTATAATTGACTATACTTTTTATCCAAGGAAATATTTAGGTGAGTAGGAGGAAAACATCGAGTCATTCCTCTATGAAACAAGGAAACCATAGGAGTAAGACGGCAGAGGGGAGGGGGAATCAAAAGATCTAAAGGCTTCAGATAAGGTACAAATTAAGGAGAAAGTATCACAGTTAATTTGCAATAAATTTAGAGACTGTATTGCGACTAATAAATATAATGACAAAATGTGCATGTTTACCTTATATTCTCTACCCCGTTGTGAAGAATGGGTCCCTGGCACCCCTTGCATGTAGAAAGAGGCGACTAAATGGGGCAACCTGGTTGCCGTGAGTTGTGAACCGTGTTGGTGGAGGAGGGGATCCTGGTGGCTGAGGACTGCAGGTGCTGGGTTCAATGCACCTCATATGACCGACACTCCATTTCGGTCCCATGTTCATCTAGACGGGAGGTCAGGTTTGGCTTGACTTGATCAATTAGCTAGTCATGCTAAGCTGATAATATTTACATGCCTTAGTTTTGATGTTAACAATGTCTTTTTATTACCTCTTTACATTTTTTATGCAAATTACCAATACGTCGAGGTTTTCATGTTGATATATATATATATATATATATATATATATATATATATATATATATATATATATATATATATATATATATATATATATATATATATATATATATATATATATTCAGGTTTATGTTAAACGGTTTACAAATATGAAAACACTGAACCGACAAATATATACATTCTGAGTTTTGCCATACCAACACTACCAACAAATATTAAAGTTAAGCTACATCAAATAAAAATTGAAATATTTGTCCTAAAGCCGCTGCGTTGTTTTAAAAGTCAGCGATTTGGGATGGAAAAACCTATTGTAAAACCTCTGAAACATGTTTCAAGTGTGGTGAACAGAGAGATGGTGGCAAAGGTTGTCTGAAAGACCCCAAAGGCAAAAACTGCAAGGGTGAGCATATAGCTTCCTCTTAATACTCAACATGGAAAAAGAGAAAGAAATGCCAAAAAAAAAAAAAAATTAAAGATTGAAAGAAAAAAATCCTATCCAGAAGCCAAAAACTGTTTACGTGTTCAGATAAGTGTTCCTAAACCAAATTTGACATTATATGCAACTGTTGTAACATCTCTTTGAAAGAATGTCTAGACAGGTATCTGAAAAAAAGATTTCCTTCAGCAGACCTCATTACTCATTATCTGAATTACATTTGTTATCTAATGACAAAATTAATAAATCTACTTCAACACCTACTTCTGCAGGCCCTACAGCCATGCCTGCACCAAAAGCTGCTGCCTTAAATTCAGTAGCTGCAGGTATATCATAATCATCCAGGAGACAAAAAAGATCTCCCTAAAAATACTCAGAAGCAGGGATGGGGAAATCGTAATCAGTAATGGTTATAAGCTGTAATCGATGACAGTTTGCGGTGTAATCATGAGTAATCAGTAATCATCCATTTTTATGATTACATGCAATCGTAATTTAATTGATTACTCTGAAAAAAGTCTTGTAATCATGATCACTTTTTGATTACGTTATGATTACACGATTTAAAAAAGTGCATAGAATCATCGTCTTCTATGACATTCAGTGAATATTTTTCAGCGTGCAAATGTATTTATAATCGAAATTATAGCCTACATATAGCTATATCTTCTTTTATTGCCTTCATAAATGTTCATAATAAGCTCCATTGACCAGGCAGTGAGTGAATCCGCTCATATTATCTATATTCAATGGTCATTAATTTTAAAATACTAAAAGCAGCTTAGCAAATCACCTTGTGTGGCTATATATATATACAGACCCTGAAACGTGCTACTACCCCACACGCACGCTGCACGAACGGTACACGCTCGCTACACGGTTTGCACGAAACGCTGCACGGTTTACACGAAACGCTACACGGTTTGCACGAAACGCTACACGGTTTACACGAAACGCTTTGCACGAAAGGCTGCACGGTTTACACGAAAGCCTGCACGAAACGCTTTGTACACGTTTCTCACACGCTTTGTACACGATTCTCGCACGCTTTGGCCTCGATCTGGATTATCTATTCGGAATCTCTCGGACTTTATTTAAATTATTACGGATTAATCAAAGATTAGTTAAGAATTGCAATCATTCAGTTTAAGATTAAAACTCGCTACACCAGTACTATATTAACAGGTAAAATACTCAATCTTCGGTTGTAATTAATTAATACAGATGTAGTTATCATTGAGTATGTGCCCGCTCGGTGAAATGCTTATCATCGTCTATGTACAAACCTTTTTAAATAGACTCTAAATTACGCACTGAAAAAAATTATTATATTTGTAATTCATAATCTTTTATAGCATCCAATGTTTTTACAATTAGCCTATAGTTTGATATTAAAAAGTCGTTTCATTACTGATAAATAAACTCAGTTATTGATTTGAAGAAAAAAATGATTAAATTGCGTATGGTTTTTGAAAGCGAATCGATTTTCTTTTCTTTCTTTTTCAATTTTTGATTGATTTATTCATTTTTTGATTTATAAAAAAAAATATATATTCATTGGATTAGTTTAGGGTCTGTTTATAATTTGAAAAAGTGACATGTACACTACATTGTGCAGGAAGGGGGGGGGGGGTAGATTACCGAGATCTTGCTGTTGTATCTTCGAATCTGTACACGGCTAAATATAACGGGCACTTGTTTCAGTTAGTATAACATTGGGGGAAATATTATTATAGAAACAGGTGCCCATTCTAAGAAAATAAAAGGATATCCAGAGGGACCAGATACATGTAATTCATTAAATGCACTTTATTCAGAATGATAAATAATCGTTCTCGTTTGAGGCATTGTGTTTATCAAATAAAAACAATATATCCACCACCTTGTAAAATCCTTGATTTCAAACCCCGTCTAGACAATTAAAAAAAAGTAATCAAAAGTCACGGCTTTTAGCAATACATTCAATATACATGTATGTACATGTCCTATGTCCTAAAAACTAAAAATTATGCTCTGTAATTGCGTGATTAATAAAACAACTAATAATTACACTGTACTCAAGATTTATTTCTATATATTTTTTTATTCGCTAATACACTGGCAAATTAATTCACTGTTTACAGACAATCGGATAAATTTAAGAAATAAAATCCACGGACCGTATTTATTTGTACCCATTAAATACTAATAAAACGATTTAATTTCACTAATCAAAATCAATCGTTATTGTCCCGTGTCATCTTAGCTATGATTGACAAGAGATAATAACAGAACAAGTTTTCAGTTCCCGGCACGAGGTGCCCGTGATCGCTGTTGTGAATGACCTTGATCACTGTCGTAAGAAGAGTGTTGTAATGTGTAAAGAAGATTCTAGTATATTTTTAAGGGGTGCATAGGGCGCACCCCGAAAAAAAGCAATAGATTTCTTTAAGAACAAAATTATATATAACACACTTCACAACAAAAGCTCAGTCCCCCCCCCCCCCCCCCGGAAATAATTTACCCTGTATTTGCCGAAGCACGTGAATTATAATTCATTTATGTGACAATTATTAACCAATTGTATGCATAAAAAGACTATAAATGATTCTTCGTTTCAACATTATTTGTAACACAATCTTGTGATATAAGAAAATTATGTTCGTTTATAAAGAAAATGAATTAACTGTGCTCCCCGGCCTAGAATTCCCATACTTCACATTTATAGCAACGCACTAAATTTTGTATTTTATTTTTCACGCCTGCCTTATCTATCTATTATTTTGTATTAATCACCCATATGTTCCTGTAATCTTTATATACCATAATTGTAAAATGGTGAAGAGATTCAAATGAATGAATGAAAAGGACAAGACCGGGTTCTTGGTGAATTTTCTTTTTTAAAAAATGTTTAGTATTGCCCCCTTTAAAAAATGTATTGAATCAAATACCTCTAAATTGATGTACATATAATTAATTACTTTGAACATATTTTATGTCCATCTTTATTTTTTTAAAAAAGGAAGAAAAACAAACAAATATGTAATACATTACCGAGTAATTTTATTTAATTTGTTGTTTCCGTATTTTTATTTTATACCACCGGTAATATATGCGAATAATATTACTTACAAACAACACAGAATGACATGTTGATCCATCAATATCCATATTTAAAATAAAATGACTTCCGAATGAATCCTACACGTTTTTCACACGATTCTTGCACGAAAGTCGCACGTTTCTCACAGGGTTCTTACACGAAAGTCGCACGTTTCTCACACGCTTCTCGCACGCTCGCTACACGGTTTGCACGAA